TTTGTCGTAATATTCCGCTTATTCCCACAACTGATGCATCAGTGGATAAGATGAATGGTACGGCTGGGTCGGGGTATTGTAGAAAGAGTGGTTCAGTGGTTAAGATTTGTTTGAATCTATCGAAGCCTTCTTGTTGTTCGTGGAACCATTGAAATTCGTGTTTGGTTTTCTTTGTCTTATTGGTGACTTTATGAATTGGGGCAGCAATTTCTGCAAAACGTGGAATAAATTTCCTATACCAATTCAATTTGCCAATGAATTCATTCGCTTCTTTCAAGGTTTTCGGAGGTGGTAGTTCAGCAATTGCGCGAATTTTGTCGGATGAAGGTTTTATTTCATCTTGTGTGATGAGGTGGCTTAAATATTCTATTTGCTGAACAGCGATTTGACACTTGTCTCGGTTGAAAGTTGGCTTTCGTTAAAAGAGATAATACTTCACTTAGATGACGTTTATGGTCAGTGAAGTTCTTGGAAAATATTAAAATATCATCAAGATAGACAACGACATAGTCCCAACGTCCATTGCCGATCAAATTATGTAGCACGCATCCTACACCAGCAATTATCAATATTCCTCCACAATCTGCTATCAGATCTGGTGATCATCCACCTATATATTCAAAACAATATCCTGCTTCTGACACAGATCAACAACTTAAATTACAAGAGACACAAAAGCTATTAGAACGCGGTCAACTTCTCCTTGGTCATCACCTATTGTACTGGTCAAGAAGAAAGACAAAACTATGCGTTTTTGAATTGATTACCATCGTCTGAATGCTATTACAACAAAAGATGCATTTCTTTACTTTATACAAAAACGCTATCATCGGACAAATTACTCACACACCACACAACGCTCGGAGTTTCTCAGTTAATTTCCCTTCACAAGCATTGCAACAACACATAGCGTCTCTAAACTCCATATATAGGTGGATAATCACCAGTTCTGATAGCAGATTGTGGAGGAATATTGATAATTGCTGGTGTAGGATGTCCTACACCAGCAATTATCAATATTCCTCCACAATCTGCTATCAGAACTGGTGATCATCCACCTATATATTCAAAACAATATCCTGCTTCTGACACAGATCAACAACTTAAATTACAAGAGACACAAAAGCTATTAGAACGCGGTCAACTTCTCCTTGGTCATCACCTATTGTACTGGTCAAGAAGAAAGACAAAACTATGCGTTTTTGAATTGATTACCATCGTCTGAATGCTATTACAACAAAAGATGCATTTCTACTTCCCCGAATCGATGAAATTTTTGATCAGTTAGCTGATGCAATGTATTATACCGAATTTGACTTTAAATCTGGTTAATTCCAGGTACCTCTAGCTAAAGAGGACCGTCCGAAAACAGCGTTTTCAACTCGCGACAATCATTATCAATTTACCGTTCTTCCCCAAGAAATAACCAACGGATCCGCAACATTTCAACGAGTAATTAATCATATATTAGGACCCACCCGATGGAAATACGCATTAGCATATATCGATGATGTTATTATTTATTCTCACACATTCGACGATACATTTAGCTCGCCTTAATGAAATTTGTCGGGTATTGAAGGATGCTCGTTTTCGTCTCAATCCAAAAAAATGTGAAATTGCTCGAACACAAACAGATTATCTTGGACGTCATATTCAAAATGGTGAAATTCATCCAAGTCCGCATAATATACATGGCCTATTAAATACAAAATTACCACAAACTGCAGCTGAAGCTTGTAAATTCGTTAAAGCAGCTGAATATTATAGAAAATGTATACCCAATTTTTCCCACATTGCTGAACCACTTAGAAATTTTGTACCAACTACCCGAACTCAACAATGAAAAGGTCAAAAAGTTTAATTATATTAACAACAGAAGAAATTAAAGCATTCGAAGACTTAAAACAAAAGAAGAATATTCTCATTTCTCTTACCTTTTTAAACAGGCTTTTTTGTAATTTCGATTCTTCAAATAAAATACGGCAGGCCAGCATATTGGTGCACTAGCCGGATCTATTAAACTGGTCATATTATTGAGTGCATGCGTTTGAGAACGGGAAAAGTCTATCCACCGCCGGCGAACACAACTACCCAACCATCTACCATACAAGACAACAACATTCTCTCCAACTATATAGCTTTATCAGAAGAGTTGCTTTTGGATGCAATTGTGAAGGACTTCCCCAAGTTTCATGGCAATAAAACTGAAAATGTTGATGAATGGATACGAGCAGTTACTGTCAAATTCATTGCTTTAGACCTTGACGATTCAAAGAAACGTAAATGGGCCCCACAATTCTTAACTGGTGAAGCTCTAAGATGGTATCTTACTCAGCATACGACCATCACAACCTGGGATGAGTTTCAACACACATTACGAACAAATTATCCACCACCGGCGGAACCTACACGTTCAAGTATTTTTCAACAAATATTATCTCGAAAACAACAGCCCGATGAAAAATTTATACATTATTATACTGATATAAAAAAATTCTGTTACCAATACGATCCAGCCATGTCAAAGGAACAACAATTAGATCATCTACGCAATGGTATGAAAATTACTCTATTAGACAAAATTAGTGGGCTCGATATCACAACAACGGAAAAACGATATGAGGCTGACCAACAACTTATCGAGTCTCGTACATCACAAACACCAATAGACATCAATCCCATATTGTCGTCCACCACACAAATGCAACCTCCCCCATCAACCGCGCAATTTCCTTCCTTTTATCCTTCGTCACAGTACTATCATAATTATCGTCAACGGACACCACCTTACTCAGCATATCAATTGTCCTCCTCACAGTCTTTCCACCGCCCAAGCAATCGGTCTAACATATGCTATCGCTGTGGACAACATGGACATTATGCTCGTGGATGTTTAAAACGATGATGGGGGATCCTGATGGTGTTACTTCCATTCACTCACGAAAACCATCATTATTACATACTCACACCTCGTCACATCTTCCAGTCCATCTCCACCGATTTTCACATACACGTCCTCAACAGGTACTCACATGTAATCCGTCTTTGATTTTTATACACGTTTACGTCAATAATCGAAAAATTCGTGCTCTCGTCGATTCAGGAGCGTCACATTCGTTCATCACACAAGCGGCCCTCGCTAAATTTCGTCACTTCC